TTTCCTTCATATCTTCTGAAATATGCCTCAAAGATATGACTTTTTTTTCAAGCTTATGTGTAATCTCCTATTGAATTTGTTACAGTGTCTGGAGTAAACAAGATATTCATTCCTGTTTTTATCTTTTGCATGAGTAAGGATATCATTTGTATTTGCTGCTTTTGCAATCATTGTTGCTCTTGCAGTTGTTGTAGTTGGATTACTATCTTTAAATATTCCATTTTGGTGTGAATTCAACAAATTCATTGCTACTGTTGTAATGTTGTCTTTGTTAAAAATAGCTGAGAATTAGTTAGGCCATAGTTGGAGATAGTATCAAATCAAAGGAACAGAAGATTAGGCAGTGAAAATAAAAAGGTTTATTAAATACACATAGAATAGAAAAACTTGGAGTAAATCAAATACTACTCTAATACCTCCTCTAATGTGGCTACTTGCCATATTTATAAGTAGGAACAGTCCATTGTCACAGTCATAGGAAAGAGTAGGAAGTGCACTCTACTCTACATTATGAATTATTTTTTTTGTTTTTTTTTATTATAAATTGCTTTTTATTATGTCTGCTTTTGTAATTCTAATAATATTAATAAAAATTTCATATTGATGTATTACTATTTTCCTGCATTAATCTTTTGTATACAATTTGTTTTACAATTATGTAAGATAGTAATAATTTTTTTATTTAGAGCATAATTTTGAGCTCTGTGGAGGTTTTTATGAAGGAATTATCTGTTATAGGATGTCAAATTATTCAGAATCAAGTTGCATTTTACTGAGATTGTAAAATAAGGACTATTTGCATAAGAAAAACAATGTTTCTACTTTTTCATTTTTTTATCAAGAAAATTGTAATAAATCTATTCAGTCATTGATGCAATAAAAATCGTTTTATTACGTTTTAATAATTAGTTAAATTTAATGTGTTTTTATTAAGTGTTCAGATTTTATGTCTGTTAAAGCTGATTGTCCGTAGATGGGCAGGGATTATTTTTGGGTTATAAAACCACTATAGAAACTACCACTATTTATGATCATACTGTAAATACTATAAACATGTATATATGGCATGAATAAATATATACTTAATATTGATATATTAATCAAAATAATAGATTTCTCACAGCTACCTTCTCATGCACGTGCTAATGTATCATAATTTCCATCTTTGTTTACAATTTGAAAGGTCCGTCACTACCGCCAAGTGGTCACTTTGAGAACTAATATGACTCATTCTGCTAAGTGTGCAAATTTTGAAATACATCACTGATGATTTGGAAGTTTTTTTGTTTTTTCTTTCCTGCAGATTTTTTTTTATTTTGCATGTAGACTTTGTCCGTTGCATCCAAAGTCTGTTGATGGAGGAGTTTTTCTGTACTACTTTTTCTTAACAACTGAAAAACAATTTCTCAACACATCTTTTTATATTTTGAGTAAAAAATAATTTTTATATAAAAATATTTAATTATATTTTCTAATGGATAAGCATGTTGTGTTGCAACACTAATACTGGGATACCCCCCCATATAGAAGGTAATAGTGTGTGATTTTTACCTTGATTGAAAATATTTTGTGTTTTATGACTAGTAATAAAGTCTGAGTGAGATATGTCCTTCAAAGCAGTCATCCACTCGACCAAAAGGGATATAAAAGAATAAATAAATGTAAACCTTTTGTGTGAAATAACAACAAACCAGGCACAGATGATTGCTGTTTGTGGGTCTATATTAACAGCTTCAGTTGGGATTGAGTGGAGCTCTGAACTGCCCATTCATGGGAGCAAACTGTCCCTCAAGTAGTTCTGTTGAAGTTTCTGGTTGCACACAGTGATGTTGCAATGGACAAGAGATGGTAAGAAGGTGAGTTGAAGAGAAGAGCTGATTTGTTAGATCAACATGTCAGAAATATTTCCAAATGTCACTTATCTACCAACGCAGGCTTAGCAAGGGAAGTCTTGAATAAACACATAAATATATTAGAATACTAACAAATTGCATTTGAAACAATTATAAGATCTCTAAGAGAAGAAAAGCTCTGGTTTTAAACCTCTGCTGCCTTGTGGCTATATCCAATCATGGGAAAGGCTTTGGGAGTAAACCCTAAGCACAAATCTGGTGCCAGAGTACCTATGAGAGTCTGATGTTATGTTCAACTTTGTTCTGGTAACTCCTACGATGACACCAATGCCCACCTTTAGTGGCCTCTGCCTTTCCCTTAGACAACATCCGTGATGTGGAGAGGTAAGATGTGCTACAATCTCATAAAAACCTGCCCAGGCCTGTGCCCTGTAAAGGCATGCATTTTTTGAAATTGAGACTGTCATACTTGTGGGGTCTGTACAGCCATAACAGATGCTGTGCCACCATCAGCAGCTAAGTGCAGATGTCATGAGACTGACAGATATCACACTGAATGAGCAAATTGCATTTACAACATAAGTGGTAACATCCAGTTTTCACCTTCCAATCTCGATAGTTCAAAAGCGTCTCTGTCCTTGTGAGTGATGAATTATTTTCCACTCTACAATCCCTTTCCTTGTAGATGAAACATTGCAAGCCCTTCACTATGTTATCTATATTTCTATTGAAAGTGTTCAGACGAACTACGTTCTTTAGTTCCACCAGTTTTAACCTTCATTGTTAAGACCCACCATACCATGCACATTGTTGTGAACCACCCTCATTTCCTTTGTATTCCACTGGTGAGATATAAGTTCTGCTTGAACAGATTCTTCCCATGAACAGATGCTTTGTGGAACCAATTTATCAAGTGGATGCTTCCTCGATCACTGCAATCTTAACATGCACAAGTCTAGGGTTAGCCGTTGTCTTTCCCACTTACCCCCACAAAGTGTGCCTCTTACCTGTTCAGTAACTCTCTACCTCAAATCAGGGGAAAAAAGTTGTTAACATTGAATGACCCATTGAGGTTGATATGCTGTAAAACAAACCAAACCAAACCTCTACCTCCAAGTAGTTCTTAGGCCTTGTACAGAGTGATCATTATTGCTAAAAAAAAATCATCATTTTAATGTTTTACGTTTTTTTTTTTTTTGTTTTTTTTTTAATTCAAATTTTTAAAATTTTAAAATAAGTAATGTTTCTATCTATAAATTTTTTTCTTTTAATTCAGCATGCTGGTATAGAAAGAATTTTAATCTGTTTTGTCAAAATTCAGTTAACTGAAAAAGTCTGTTTCTTTTTCTTTTTCATCATTTCACCCCATGCAAGACAGGAAAACCACCAATATACAAGGAATTACTAAGCATGAAAGAATAAGAAAAAAGAGAATCATTATTAATGAGAGAGAACAATATAAGAGTACTCAAGTAGACAGTAGATAATAATTGCTATTGCATTTAAATTTTTGAAGATCAAAGTTGGCTGGGAGAGTTCCACAAGCGAGAAATGCAAGAAAAGAAACTATTAGCATAGAACTTGGTTACATTTAGCCAATTCAAGTGTAAATTTGATGCAACTTTGTTGCTAATCAAGTACATCACTTAAATACATAAAGTCTAGGTACCATAGAGGAAAGTTCATCAGAGCAATTATCATAAAAATATTTGTAGAAAAGGCAGAGGGAACCTGTATTATGGTGGTGGGAAAATGACTGAAGCTAAGATACCAGGTCAGGACCAATAATATTGCTGATTCTCTTTTGGATTTTATCAGAATCTCTAAATATATAGGAGGAGCACTGGACCATATCTGGCAGCAATAGTTAAAGCATGGATAAATGGTAGATATAAATATGAAAGAGAGATTCTGGCTTCTAAAAATAATTTTTTTTTTTTTTTTTTTTTTAATTAAAAATTTTATAGAATTCTAAGTCTCTAGGCCAAGCAACATTAGTTGCAAATTCATTTTTTATAGTGTTTATAGTAATCATTGCTACAAATTAGTTAAGTGTAGCCCCCTAAAAATTAAAGAAGCCAAAATAAACTGTTTAATTAAATTTTCTTGAAATTTTATTATTAAAATAAACATTAGAAAATTATTCAATGGTCAACCCTATATCACTATGTCCAAAATAGGAAATTCAAATGTATAATAACATAAGGAATATAAATGTCTTGCTGAAAATGTTGTTTATACAGATATTTTATAGAGATAAGAAAACATTTATTACAACTTAGTTTTCTCTGTCCATCAGACATCTATTAAGCTAGTTTATTACAACAGACAGATAAAAAAAAATATTTCAAGTAGTCTGTTAGAGAAAATATATGATTCTTCATATCAGCTTTTCTTTTTTTATCCATCACTTTTCTCCTTCTTGCTTTTCTCTTTTCTCCTCCTCTAGGATGGCAAAATACCTTTCTTACAATAGGCAAAGAAATAGTTCAAGTAGTCATTTCAACCTGTGACAAGAAGTTTATTATAAATTTGAGCATGTCTCTCTCTCTTTTTATTTTCCTTTCTCCTTTCTCTGTAGAATGTGAGAATTGATCAAAGATTCCCATAAAAAAAAAAATGATAGCTCTTTTGTACATATTTTTGATTCTTTTTGTCTTGGTATATGTTAGAATTTTTCTGCTTAGTTTTGTTTGCAGGCTTTTCTCTTCTTCTTCATCCTCCTTTTTTCTTTTTTTTTTTTTTTTTTTTTTTTTTTTTTTTTTGAAAGCTATCTTGGGCTCACTCATGGCAGCTATATAAACTTGTGGTAAATCTGGTGCTTATTTTAAAAACAGTTTTTAAATATTGATTTTAGGCAGGTACTAATAATAGTTTCAGAAATATGATAAAACTACCATCTGACAGAATTTTACATTTTTTTTTTTATTTATTTATTGCTAAGATACAAGGTAGAATCAACCAAATGTTAATGATTTCAATTTTTTCTTCATTTAACTAAAGTTTAAAACTTGTTTGCATAATGCTTTATGATTTATAGGACTTTTCTGTTTTGTAATTTTTATATCAAGCTTTAATAATTCTATTAATTCTTAAATATGGTTTTTGTCAGTTGTTCATTGATTTTTATTTTTTATTTTTTTTCAGTTTACTGCCAAGAACCAGTTATTGTCGATGCTATCTTACCAGAAGTCAAGAAAATTGGAGAAAGTGGTTTCCTTAACTGTACAGTTGCCAGGAAAGGGACAAATATTGTAAGGCTTTGTTTTTTCTTTATTTTTTTTTTTTAATTCTTAGTTTTGGATAAACTCTAAAGAGCAATTTTTTGTATTTTTCTTTTTAAATGTTAACATGAGTGCAATATGGTTCCAATATACCTCTTGTTAACAGAATATTGCACTAAACCTTGTTAGATAACTTGATTTCTTTCTTTCTTAATTTTGTCCTTCCCAGTTGAACTTCCAAGCAAGTTATATAACTGGTTATTCAGACTACTGAATATATTCTTTATAACATTTTGGATGATCTAATCTGCCTTCTTCATGTGTACAATCACTAAAAAAAATGAGGGATCTTCTATTCTGGAAAATAGAGAAAAAAAGCCTTGCTTGGGGTGAAATGATTTAAAAATAAATAAATGATAAACTAAAATAATTTTTCTTATCTTTTTTTATGAGTAGAAAAGAGCTGATATTTTTTTCGCTTCGATATTTTTTACAAAAAAAAATAATGAATGTAAGTTTGACATGTACTATTATTATATTTATTTTTTTTGTAGGTGACTTGGACTCATGTAACTAATCAACAACCTCTCAGCCGTGATGAGACAATCACTCTAAGTATCAACAAAAATATTGATGGTCAACCAAAGTTTGAAATTAAAAAACGTTCTTCTTCAGATGGTGACCGAATTACATACATGTTGATAATCCGAGGTTTGCGAGAGGATGATGCAGGGGATTATTCATGTACTATTGAAATCCAGGGGAAGAAAAGTCAAGAATGGCCTTCCACAATTGGTAAACTGACTGTCCAAGGTGTGTATAACTTCAGTATTTAATCTGTTTGCATAATTTTGACCTTCTATATTGAAAAAGAGCAAACAATACCTTCCAAAAGCTAAAAGTATTAAGAAACAGGGAAATTTCATTATTTACATAATTTAGATGTGGACGTTTATCCTCATCTTAGTCATTGTTATCACAACATTTCATCCAGTGTGCCCTCCAGCTTTCATTAGGTGTATGTCAATTCAGCTAACCTTTATGAAATTTTGAACTGAAGTCTTTATTTAATCTACAGAGTGTAGATTGTTCTTGATACACTACCCATGTCTAGGGATAGTTTGCCTAGTTTTTATTTAGTACCACTCAATTATTGCTTACCCTGTTTCCACTGAACTCACATTTACCATGTGACCAAATTCACGAACCAATTCTTTAATCTTTTAGGACAATTCTGGGTAGAGAATACGGAATCTTAAACCTAACCTGCCTGCTGATTTGTGCTGCTGCTTGTCATGCTTGACAGTACACACTAAAGTATTTTATTTGTTTGCATTCTTCTATGACCATTTGCAAACTGATTTTGTGGTTTCATTCTAATTTGGACAAAATTCTTATTCTGATCTTGTCAGTCCCTGTGCAAAAATCAAGCATTTAAACATATCAGGAGTAAGTTCTTTTAACAAACTTCTCACACTCTCTATTGATAATCCCAGCAAATGTCGAGTAATCTTCCCCACTTTTCTTTTTAAGGCTTAAACTTTGCCATCTTGTGTTGAAAAGAGAACTTTTCTCCTTCCAAATTTTTTCCAGAATTAAGACAGTTTCCTTGAAAGACACTTCCCCAGGCTTTCGTGGAAGTATGTAATTTGCATATTTTTTGTGTTCACTTTGACCAAATTTTCCAAGCAACAGATGCATTTTCTTTTCATCTGACCATGTAACGCAATATTTTTGAAAGACCTCTTCATAACAGCAAAAATATGCTGCAAAAGTTACCACCTCTTCAGGACTTTACTTATATTTGCCAGTTGAATTTATTACTGAATCTTTTTTGCATTGCCTTGCTCTTTTTCCTTTTTTAACCCTAACAATTCAAACATTTTTTTTTTTTTCAAACTGTTCGTTTTTGTTTCTCAAAGCGTTCCTGGTCCAAACATTGTTGTTCCTCCAACTGTTTGTTTTGTTTCTGCTGGATTCTCATGAATTCCAACATTGTTTCTTTAAAATCCTCCATGTTTCTTTATAGAGACAAAATTTTAACTGAGCAACGAGACAAAATTCTTGTTTTTACACATCTGACTTGGAATTAATCTGAGGTTGAGTAGATGCTAAGTAATTTCTTGGTACATGACTATAAATTTTTACACTCAAATCCTTGGTCTGTGTTGGTATTAACATTCAAATTTTTCATTGTCAAATGTTGGTATCTGCTGTAAATTTTGAATCCCTCATCGCCAAATGTTATATCATGAAATGGATGTCAATACACATATAAAAAGTAGTAGTAATTTATTCTGAAGAATAATATGGTACTACCAGTCAAGAACACAAGTCTACTGGAATAACAGTTAATTGTGAACTTCACCTCAGTTTTGTTTAACTTTCACTCTCTCAGTAAGAGAGCATGCTATTTATCTTTTTAGATCAGTCCATCTTGTGGGGGTGCTCCAGTACTCTACAACAGTTACTTTCATTAAATCACAGGGGTTGAGAAAACATCTCTAACCCCCAAACCAAACTCCTTAATCTACCTTTTTTTTATAAAATATACCCTGTTATAATTTCATGAAGAAAAAAGAAAGTGAGAATTTTAATGATTTTCTTTTATTTGTACATCATTAATTTTTTTTTTTTTTTTTTTTTTTTTTTTTCAATGAAATTATTGAAATTATAATGGTATATTTTCAAGTATAGCTAGATTAAGGAGACTGGAATGTCAATTATTGGCTTGGCTAAAAATTTTATTTGCTTTATTATGTTAGAAAATTTACTTAATAACCAAATGTACTTTTTGGCCAACCCATTATTTTCAAGCTCATGTCCATATATGGCCACAGTATTCCATTTTGGTAATTACAAATTTGTCTAGAAGATGGCAGAAATTAGTGAAAGTGGTGGGGGCTAAATTTTTTGTTCAATGAAGTTAATGACAAAAATTAAAAATTCTCTTATTCTTATTTTACAAACTGAACAAACCTATTGCCCAATACTCTCTTTGTAGTTGGTAATGTTCTTAGAATTATAAAACTGAGCCCTTTATTCAATCCACTGGAGTAGACTGTTCTCATTCCATAGTCCATGCTTAAGGGATATTTCATAATCATTTAATACTTACCAGTTGTATTCCCCTTAGTTATTTATGTTTATCTTTTGAATATTTCATCACTATCATACCTAACAATTGAACTTGCAAATGTCAGAGAATTCAATATTTTTTGTTTTTTTTTAACTAGTACCTAATTGAGTAGAAAAGAGACATGGCCTTGTGGATTAAGCATTGGCAACCAATCTAAGAGAAAGAAACTCTGAATTCAAACCAGCCTGAAGATGGTTGGGCTCCATCAGGCTGTCTTGCCCATGAAACACTGATGCTGTTATAGCTGTATTAGATGAGGTACAGCTACAATCCTAAGAGGTTATGTAATTTGTGATCCTGGGATGTTTATACCTTGTTTCCTGTTTAGAATTGACTTTCTGGTTTCTTCTAAACTCTTTTTCTTCTTTCATTTCCAGTAGTCACTTGGTGACTTTATCACCTTTTAAAGAAAAAAAAATCAACTCTGTTGGTTGTTTAATGCCCTAATTTTTGTTCTTTTTTCAAGTTAGATATATGGCTTGTAAACAATCTCCAGTTATGCCTTTAGAATGGAGTTATTTAGTGCTATAACTTGTGGTATAAACCAATCCCCTCTCTCTCTCTCTCTCTCTCTCTCTAACAGTCTCTGAAGGGCCCAGTATATGCATTAACAAACTTAAAGACCTTGCTACTTAGTAATAGAAATGTAGCAGAATAGGGATAACCAGTATCTTGAAAGGCATTTATTGTTATTCTTGTTTGAATTCGATCACAAAGAGACAAACCAGGGAACATACAACTGATCTTGGATGTCATCACAGTTGTGCAGTGAGTGATGTGTGGATTATGTTGTCACAACACTATATTTTCCTTTATCATTTCTTTGAGTTTGTTTCAAATTCTTATTGTTTCTGTATGAAAAGAATTTTCCTTGTTTGTGTATTTCTTTCAAATGTATTTTGTTCATCCGTTTCCCCTTCTGAGAAGTATGTTATTTGTTTCTAGTTTTTATGGGTTTATTTCTTAAATAAAAGGATAACATTAATATGAAGCCTGGACATTTTTCATTGAGACTGGCGGTCAGTTACAACCTTCTTCAAGTAGGCTAGGATAGTCTCTATCTTTTTTCTTCTTGAAGAGGTCCTCGAGACTAGCCACAGTGTAAAATATAGGGCAAGGTCACTACAATTGGTATATGTCTCCTGCCCTGCTGCTCATTCTGTATTTAGCAATGAAACTAAATTATAAAAATTTTATTTATTAGTATAAGTTTGAAAACTTTAATATAAGAAGAATCTGCAGTGTTATTAGTTGTGGCCAGATATCTCAGCTTCACTATTTACATTATTTGGATTATTGTCCTCATCTTTGCTGCTATGTTTATTACAACATTTCGGCTGTTGTAGGCTCTGGCCTTCTTCAGGTAGTTGGAATGTCGAACTGAACCCTTTATTTCGCTCACTGGGGTAGACTGTTCTAGTTCCACATGCCATGTTTAATGGATGTGAGTTATCAGTTATCTCCTGTTAATTCTCCTTTCCAAGTTCTCCACTGCCTTAACTGGGTAGTGAACTCGCATTCTTTGGGTTCTGTCACTGGTTTTATAATAAGTATAACTCTATATAACTCCCCCTTTCATTCTGGCGACAGAATCGTGTTTTATCGTGTTTTCAAATTGATTTCATGCAAAAACAATTGTTTTTCCAATTTTTGGTGCTGTCAGAACCACTGCAAGGTAATTTTACGCAGTCCTGTGAAGTTTTGTTGAAATCAGTTGAAAAATGTAGGAAATCCGATCCAATATATAAACGTACACACACACAATCTGCTTTTTATAAGAAGTAAGATTTTATAAATTACTGCTTAGTCTAAGTCTGTACTACCTGGCCCAGTGATTGAACTTATATTTACGATGCCACAGATTCACTAAACAGCATTTCAATCCTCTGGCCTTGAGATTTCCTTTTTTATATCAGTCCTTTTTGTTTCGTCTCCCTGTTTTCAAATTTAGCAAAAATCAACTCCAGTTGCTTTACTTTCATTGATTAATATTTTAACCCTCTCTTTTCCAATGCGCTCTTATGTTTGCATCATGTTGAAATACCAGTTCTTGTATAACCACCAAAGTTAAGCAACATCAGTACTTAGAGTGGTGACTGTTTGGGAATACCAGATGCTGAAAACTTGGATGTGTGGGTGGTGTAATGGATAACAGCTTGGAATTGGGAATCAGAGAGCATAGTTCCAATTCCTACTGGGCTTATATTCACTTACACATAAAAACCCTTGGGAAACATGAATCCACATCTTCTCCCTTCAGCTATGGTTTAATTAGGACTTGAACCAGTAAATCATGATTATCTCAAAAAAAAAAAACTTCTTACAATCTAAAAATATTTTCTGGCTTTAAATAACCTGCCAAAGGTTGATAAGCCGTAAAAAATCAAATCAAAACAATTCTTTCCAATATCTTTTAAACATTCTTCTTTTGAGTATATCAATAAACTAAGTTAAAAATTTATTTTTAAATTTTTTTCTTAATTTCAGTTCCTCCGAAGGTTCTGACTTCTTTGACAACAACAAGAATTGAATCAAAAATTGGAGAAACACAAGTACTTCGATGTGAGGCAACAGGAATTCCTCGTCCAAATATCACTTGGGTACGAGCAGATGGTGATGCCCTACCAAATATGAAATTCACTCATCGTGTAAGTTCATTTCCAACTGAATATATAGCTAACATTATATTTCATTGATGCTTTTTGTGTAGAATTTTTGTCAAAGATATTAATATAAGAGTAGGCAAAGAAGGGATGTTATTTCACTTGCTGTCATTAGTGGATTCTTTACATGATAAATACAAAATATATTATGATGACACTCTTTTTAGACTATCACCAACTGACTAGCTTCTCTGTTTTTACTTTTTAAAAAAGATGGCTCATCTCTGCTGCTTGAAATTGCAGAGCTCTGGGTGATATCCCATTTCTTCCATATTTCAATTGTAATGAGGAAGTTCCACCTAGCTTTATCTCTAAGAACTGCTACTTTGTAGAACAGACTCCTATGTGAATGCTTCCCTGAATACTACAATCATATCCTTTTCTAGTCAAGGGTCAATAATTGTGTTCTTCATAATTCTCACTTCCTACCAGCTCTTCTTACATTTATATCACACACCTCATTCAGTAAATTCTATTTTGAGTGGCTCTTGAGCCTTTTATTGATTGAACATTAGTAAAAATAAAATAAAAATTGAAGAATAATTAAAAAGTAAAAATAAAATAAAAATTGAAGAATAATTAAAAAGTAAAATAAAAATTGAAGAATAATTAAAAAGTAAAATAAAAATTGAAGAATAATTAAAAAGTAAAATAAAAATTGAAGAATAATTAAAAAGTAAAATAAAAATTAATTAAAAGTAAAATAAAAATTGAAGAATAATTAAAAAGTAAAATAAAATTGAAGAATAATTAAAAAAGTAAAATAAAAATTGAAGAATAATTAAAAAGTAAAATAAAAATTGAAGAATAATTAAAAAGTAAAATAAAAAATTGAAGAATAATTAAAAAGTAAAATAAAAATTGAAGAATAATTAAAAAGTAAAATGAAGAAAATTAAAAAGTAAAATAAAAATTGAAAAATAAAAAAAAAATTGAAGAATAATTAAAAAGTAAAATAAAAATTGAAGAATAATTAAAAAAAAATTAAAATTAAAAAAAAATAAAAATTGAAGAATAATTAAAAAGTAAAATAAAAATTGAAGAATAATTAAAAAGTAAAATAAAAATTGAAGAATAATTAAAAAGTAAAATAAAAATTGAAGAAAATAAAAATTGAAGAATAATTAAAAGTAAAATAAAAATTGAAGAATAATTAAAAAAAAATAAAAAAAAAAATTAAAAAAAATAATTAAAAAGTAAAATAAAAATTGAAGAATAATTAAAAGTAAAATAAAATGAAGAAAATTGAAGAATAAATTAAAAAAAAATTAAAAAAATAAATAATTAAAAGTAAAATAAAATTGAAGAATAATTAAAAAGTAAAATAAAAATTGAAGAATAATTAAAAATAAAAATAAAAATTGAAGAATAATTAAAAAGAAAAAATGGTTAATTTTTTTTTTCTTTTATTTAGCTGTTTAATATATAACAGTGTCTCCAGATGATGCTGTAACTGGTTAATATATAACAGTGTTTATCAGATGATGCTGTAACTGGTTAATATATAACAGTGTTTATCAGATGATGCTGTAACTGGTTAATATATAACAGTGTTTATCAGATGATGCTGTAACTGGTTAATATATAACAGTGTTTATCAGATGATGCTGTAACTGGTTAATATATAACAGTGTTTATCAGATGATGCTGTAACTGGTTAATATATAACAGTGTTTATCAGATGATGCTGTGACTGGTTAATATATAACAGTGTTTATCAGAATCTATTCATTTAACTGCCAACTAGCAACTTATCTGTCTAGGACAATAGAAACTGTAACTGCTTAAACCCAAAAGGTTTTGCTCTCAACTAACTGCTAAATATCTGTTGTGATGGGAGCTGTTATGCTGGTACAGCCAAAAATAGTGGTTCCTGTGAGCTATAGCAGCAGAGCATACTGGTGTGAACCATGGAGAAGATTGAAGTTTCACCTGGTATTTTGGATAAGGAATGAAAACATCCATGCCGGCTTTGATCCAAGAGGAAACCTCAGTAGCACAATTCTCAATTTGAAGATTAAAGATATCAGACCAAGGAGCATCGCAAGGAAAATCACAGAGTGACTCCCAGTCAGCAATGCTGGTAATGGAAAGAGGTCTTATGAATAGGAGGTTCATGTTTAATAGATGATTGGAATGAAATATCAATACAGAATGATTAGTTTCCATGAGGACAGTGTTGCAAAGCTCAGCAAAAGCAAGGAGAGGAGGAAAGAAATAAATCAAGTAGAGAAGCCTGTTATTCGTATTTGCTATGAAAATGAGTAGGGTAATTCATGATTTGAGTAAGGGATTGAGCAATGGAAAAATTTAATTTCTGAATACCGGCAACATAAATGCCATTAGAATGTTTAATCCATATCTCATGGTGCACATTAAAATCACAGATTGAAAGAGAGTGTGTGTGTGTTTTTTTTTTTATACTGTCAGAGATGGTGTCTAATATATTGCAGTCCTGAGAAGAGGGGGTGCAATAAGTAAGTGTATAATGATGAAAGCATGTGATTTGTCTGGAGACAATTCCCTTGTCATCAGAAGATTATCCCTGATGTAAACACCAAGGCCATGCATGTCAATGCTGGATTTTCTTTGGCAAAGTGGAAGATAGCCTGGAACAGCGAACTCATTAGTAGCAATGTCAGAGTTTAAGTTAGTTTCACAAAGTGCAAAATATCTGGTGACCATTTGATGAGAAAAGATTCTATACTGCTGAAGTTGGATGCCACAAGCATTTGAAAAAGAAAGGTTGAGGGAGGTAAGTTGTTTTTTGTTTACTGGTTTATTCATATTTCTTTTGATTGTTTTTGTCATGAGAAAGTTTGTATTGAGAAAAAGAAAAGGCCAATGTAATTATCACTGTCATCAATGGCAATACAAACTAACCAGTTCATAGCTGAGACCAGACCATAATGTAACCTCAGGGCTTCCCACCAGAAATACATGCAAGGATACCTACCAATGCACAACATGGCACTACAAATACCCCAATAAAATGTGACTGTTGGTTGGAGCAGCTCCCCTAAGCAGTATCAAAGTGTTCAGGCTCCTTATAGCCAGTTGGAAGCAGCAGCCAGCAAACTACTAACAGGTACCCACATAATGGTTAGTCTGATCACCAAAAAATTAAGACAGTTAAATCATTATGGCCCTGGGAAAAGAAAGAACCAGTAAACCATATTGTGAACAGGGAACAAGGGATTATTCTCTATCCCTTTTTAATAAATGTGGAAGGAGTATGGGCTAGACGATAGTTGATCCTTTCTACTCCTATTAACATGTTTGCAGCACAGGAGACTGGGTGATTTTTATCAAGGCACCAATTCTAGGAAGGTTGCTGAATAAGACTGTAGACCCCAACTGGGCCAGGGGCAGATTACCAGATAATTAATATAATTCTGGAGGAATTGAGAGTATATCAAGAACAATTTTAGGGGAAAGAATTAGGATACAACTAAACTATGAAAAGGTGGATCAGATTAAGTTTTAACTTGGGATAAATTCTAATGTCTCTTTCAAATTAAAAAACAAAAATTGGGGTGGGGGAGAAATCTTCTACAAATTATCGCATTGTTGTAGTTGAGTTAGTTTTTGCTGCTACTGCTGGTTTCATTGCTGGATGAAGATATTCCTTGGTGTTGCTGGTAATGGCCTGCTTAAATTTGCCTGCCATGGGGGTTCATCACTAATGTCAGTCTGCTCAGATCTGCTTTCATGGGTGAAATCAGCATTAGCTTTATAGAGTCAGTGACTCAGTGCTGGGAAAAAACATGTGGCTTTTTCTGATTGGTCAGAAAAGATGGTTTATGACCCTAGTATTTTTGGACCATATGCCAGAAGTTTGAATTCAGTTTTTCCTACTCCTAGACCGGTTGCTACCCAAGGCTATAGAACCCATTCTGTTTTGCTATTTACTCATATGTGGAGGGAGGAGAGATGGATTCATACCTTTCTCAAGGATATTAGCATGTAAGTGAATGTAATGAACTTGACTAGAATCTCAATCTGAGCTGCAATCCATTATTCTATGCTTCCAACTCTGGGTAAATAGTAGGGCAGTCTGGGCTTTATAGTCATAGTTGACAACCAGATGAAGAGGACAACTCTGAATTCAAATACAAATGTTTCATTCTGGCAACTCCAGCAACAATGCCAGTACCAAGCTGTATTGGCCCCTACCTTTCCATTGTACAACATTAGTGGCATAGAAAGGACAGACATGCTAGCATGGGTAACTGCTGATCTCTACTTTAAAAAAAAAAAAAAACTGCCCAGGCCTGTCTCTTCAGGCACAGATCTATGGTCCCTCAAGACCTGCAGATAGCAATAATTCTAGAAATGGGTGTATGAAGCCAGGCAAAATGAAGGTCTGTTATTGTTCATTTGAGTTAAAGAAGGAGAGTTCCAACAGGATACGAGATGAAATTTGGGAGATGAAAGATTTATTTGTTCTTCTCTTACCTGTTTTTTAATAAGTACACTTTTACTTCTCTCGCCAGCTGGAAACATATAAAAATAATGGATTTATCTTTTTCTTGTTAAATCCTCAAAATTAGACACAAAGAAATTTTCTGAGTTTAACCTTCTTTCAAAATAATATGTGCATATGTGTGCATGCACACACACATATATATAATGTTGTATCCTTAAAGAAGTTACAAACAGACAAAGGTGGTACTCGAGTGAAAGGAACAGCAGCACACGCATAGATGAAAGAAAGCGGAGTTTATTGTAAAAGAGAATACACTGCTGAAAGACGTAATTGGTTAGCAAGCTAGTAATTCCTGAAGCAAGGTTATTTACCTTACCTCCCCATGAAGCAGGATGTGGCACAATGCCATTTTTTACTGCAGGGCAATACCGAGCCCTTAGGCTCAGGCAAAAATTCCCTGTAGACCCTGTATATACAGGGTTGGGTAGCTGTCTACCACCCCAGACGAGACTCTGCTCTTCAGCATAGACTCGTCTGGGTTCCTCTCTGCCCGAAGACAGATAGTTCCACCAGCACTGCTGGATACGAATCTCCAGCCAATTTCCTGAAGCAAGTCTATTATACTATTATCAGATAGTCTATCTGTAAAGGAACAAAATGAATAAAAAAAAAAAGAGGAAAAATTATTTTAATCGATACATTTCATCGAGAGACTATATCAAAGCAAATGTTAATTTATTTTGTTGCACAAGAGCAAGGATGTCATTGGTTTATCAAGGCTTTTGAATTTAAGGATGTTCATAAATATTCATCATCTTCAAAAACATGAGGTAATGGAAAACAGTTAAAATCTATTACCTCATATTTTTGAGCACATATGCTTATCCCAAACCAGAACAATCTGTCATAATTTAAACAATATTCATTTATTATAAAAAAAAATATTTCTTGAATATTACTCACTCACTTTTGACTTATCAGACATTGAATTATGGCACTTTGTATCTTTCATATGTTTTGACTGATCTTTCAACCACCTGATGAATATTCATGAATGGTCTCAAATGTAAAAGCCTGATAAATCAGTAAAGTTCTTGCTCTTGTATATAAACACATGCAACAAAATAAATCCTTACATCTGCCTGGATAAAGTCCCTCAGACAACAACATGTGTCGGCTAAGAATAGTTTTCCTCATCTTTTTATTCATATATATATATATATATATATATATATATACACACACACACACACACACTCGTTTACCTACTGTCAGAGCTCTAAAGATGGTTTATTTAGGCCACCCCTTTCCAATTTCTAGAATACCTATCTCAGTGCTTATTGCTTTCTTAGCAGTAACCAATAGTATCATGACACAACAGAAACTGATGTGGCATTCAATGAAACTTCATTTAAAGAAGGTCAGAAAATGGTCAGGCTGAAAAGATGTGAAGGAAAATGTAAATATAATGGATGTCCCCCGCAAAAAATTCATTGAACAAAAGTGTTTAGTGATGTTTTGAAATAAATGTTTATTGATTATAAATTGAATAACACTTCTAATAAGAAACTTCACTCTTTTAATTAACTGAGAGAATCCTTTTTACCTTTCATCAGCATGGCTGATGCTAATGTCCAGGAGAGTGACTGATTGTGCCTTCTTGGGCTAACGTTTTCCACTGATATGAAGTGGAGAGATTATATTGAAGCAATTGCTAGATCTGCTAGTAAAGTTGGTTTATTGTGTTGCGATAGAAAAATTTTTCTTGTTAGAATCTATCTTGCACATTTATAAGTCTACCATTCATCCATGCATTTAATATTGCTGTCCTATCTGGTCTGGTGCTTCTATGTATTTAGAGATTTAGGCTGACCCTGAGAATTTTCACTACAGATTAGTAACTCGAAATGAAATCTGGGTTCACCACTTCAAACCTGACTCAAAGATTCAATGCAAACATTAAAAGCACTCTGGTTATCCACCCCCAAAGAAGTTCAAGCAGACAGCATCTATTGGCAAGATGATAGCTTCTGTTTTTTTTGTTTTATTCTGTAATCATGACAGACTACCTGGAAAAGGGGGAAACTATGACAGTGCTGTGTATCAGAATTAAGACAACTGAAGGAAGCAAACAAGTCAAAACGTAGAGGAAAACTGAGAGTATGTGTGCCCTTGCTCCAGGATAATGTACCCTGTTCATACAGCTCAGGTTGTAGTAGCTGAAGCAGCCAACTGTGGCTTTGAATTGCTACCCTTACTCACCAGACTTAGCTTCATGTGACTTCTTCCTGTTTCCTAAACTTAAATCCCACCTGCATGGTAACCATTTTGGATACAATGATGAGATATGTTTTGTGGAGAAGTTTTTTTAGGACAGGATGCTACCTTCTTCCATGATGGGATTGCAATGCTTAAGCATTGTTGGACCAAGTGCATTGATGTCAGTGGAAACTATCTTGTTTTTCCAACTCCTTCTGGGTTAGGCTTAGAATTTTTTGAATGACCCTCATAGATTTATGAATTTATGTGTACTACTAGATTAGCTGCAAGGTTTCACCGTAAGTTCTATGCTAACAGTTTCTTCTTTCACACTTCTCACTTGTGGAATGCTCTTTTGGCTTCTTGCTTTCCCATCAAGTTTGACCATCACATGTTTAAATACAATGTCAATCATTATCTTCCGTTTTCTTAATTCCTTAATTTTTACAGTTTTTTCTCCTTAATGATATATTCTCTCACACTCAAACACCCCTTGCACCATAGTGGCATTATTGCCTTGATTGAAGGGAAATGATTTAAAAAAAAAATAATATTAGATTAAACTTTCAAAATTAAGCAAAATTAAAATGTATATCTCTACTCATTTCCTAGTTCATCTTCCTTTAATTATTCTTGTTTTATTTCACTTTGCATTTTTTTTTTTTTTTTTTTTTTTTTTTTTGACACATTACTTAAAGTAATATTATTCTAAAGACATGGGATGATTGGAATTAGCATTGGAATATTAAGAAGCAATCATTTACTCTTTTGTACCAAATAAAAGCCATGGCTAGAATAGTCATGATTGTGGGTTCTTTTTCAACTTGTAAAATAAATGGAGTATTTTTGATTCCTTGAATGGAATAATTGTGTTATTGAGAAAATTATTTGAAATTCTAAATGATCACTTTGCCAGAAAAGGAAAGCAAATTAAAGGAAACGATTTAATCATATTGACAGTTGTATTTCGTAGATAAGACTATTACCGTTTTTCTTCTTTGCAGGGGAGTGTATTAAAACTGGACAACATACGTCGTACAGACCAAGGTGTGTACAGGTGTGTAGCTGATAATACTGTTCGTCCACCTGACCAGTATGATGTCCAATTGTTAGTTTTTTCACGTCCCCTTGTACGATCTGTCCAAAATACAGTTGGTCAAGCTGCTAATGGAAAATATTCAGCTAAATTAGAATGTAAGATATCAGGTAAGTAAAAAATTTATTTTCATATAGTTTGTTGCTTAATAATAAAATAGTTTTCACTATTTTGTGGTTGGTATGAAATTCCAAAATTATTTCGGTTAGCATACTTTAATGCTCAGATTATTAAATTTGCATTGTTATATACTAAAGTAACATTTTTTTTAGGTAAAATATTGCACAGTTTAGTATTTAATCATCAGTAATTTTTATAACAACCTGAAATGTCTAGTTTTTCTTGAAAATTATGAAAGTTGAGCAAGGAAATCATAGAGTAATGGTAATGTCAGTAAGAAGGTGACCAACATATTATAAATTATATTGTATATGTGGAGGTGCAGGGGTCTAGTGGATAGTGGCTTGGAATAGAGCAGGGTTCAAATTCCAGTTGAATTTGTTACATTCACTTATGTGCAAATACCCTTGGGAAAAGTATGAATCTATCTCTTCTCCCTTCAGCTATGTGTTAAATAGCAGGATAGACTGGAGCCTAAAGCCTTGGTTGGTAACCAGTTTAAAAGAAGGAAAACTCTGAATTCAAAACAGCCTGGAGAGGTTTAACCTCTGTCAGGTTATCTTGTCTAATACTCACCACTGCTGCTACAGTTGCAGTACATGTAGCCCCCCCCCATAATCACTGGTGAAAAAAGTCTTTGTGTGATTAAAGCTTGGGGATCTTTGCAAAGATCATCCTGCTTTGAACAATGTGGACTGGCACTACAGAATCCTAAAGACCAGTACCAAATAACAGAAACAACATCACTTGAGGACTACAAACAGCAGTAACAACTAAAATGATTAGCACATGTAATTCGCAGAGAAAATGACATAATCAAGGTGTTAACATTCTGCACTACGTCAAATGGAAGGTTTGGCAGGAAATTTCCCATCAATACTAGAAAGAGCAATAACAGCTACTGGACTTGAGAAAGTTGTCTTCCTAAAAAAAAAAAAGTTTCAAGAGAAAGATTTTATAAATTTTAAGTGAAAACAGTACTGGCTGCTCAATCAATGAATGCCAAATGTTTCCTTATAGGGAAATGGCTAATATTACCATTATAACCCTTGGGGTTACAGGATTTGTGATCATGATATATTAATATAAATTATATTTATATGTTGTATAGGTTATTCACATTATATTTTTATATATATATATATATTGGCTTTTTTTTTTCATTATCTTTAAAAACATCCTGTACTTAAATTTATATCTATCCTTGTAGCTTATCCAGATGCAGTACTGAGATGGTATAAAAAGACAAGTCAAGGCAAAATGCTAATCAATGACGATGACAAATATGACATCCAGAAATTACAGAGTTCTGATTTGAATTTGGGCGAGACATGGTATTATTTGAAAGTGAAGAATATCCAAGCGAATGATTTTGGTGACTATTACTGTGAAGGCAGTAACAGTCAAGGCACCGAGTCAACAAGAATTATATTATTTGGTAAGTTGCAATTTTAGTATATTGTTTGGTGTATAAAACTAAAGTCATTTTTGTTGAATACATGTTACTAAAAAAATTTTTTCTGTTGTCTGAAAGTAATGTTTCTTTAAAATGGCATAATGCAAAGAAATAATTACCATTTAATTAATTTTTTTTTTTTTTTATAGGAAAATCTTTTGAGTGTTCCCAGACCATAAAATAACTTTGCATGTTATTTTCTCTATAAAGGATAGTTGCAATTGTTTCAGAAAAATATGATTTTAATTTTGAAAGGTCATGTGCTTTTAGAGTAGATTTGCAGGATGATATGTGTACTTGCAAAAAAAAAAAAAAATCGCATGTTTCTTTATTTGGCGGGATTGGTAGTGTGACGTGGGATGAAAGCAGATAGCCTAAAAACGCATATATGCATATAATAGGGTTAATTTCCACCTAGCAACAGAATAAAGGTCACGTGGGAGTCTTATGACATTTTGTGAAGGCAGGTCAAAAGGTTGACTGACCCAATTACCTGTAGCGACAAATGTCTAGACAGAAGCTAGACAGGGGACGGATGTAAGTTAGAATTCGCGCCAAAACTTAAGACACGTGACAGTCAGAGATTCACTCGAGGATCAGTTGCTATCTTGACGTTGAAGAGGCAAGACCTGAAGCCAAAGCGCTGATAGTTTATGAACAGAAAGATAAGACGCATTTGATAGTGATGGAACTTATACTTCTTGTCCGGAGTTGCCTGGATTGAACTGGATAAGAAGTATTCCTGTTCGATAACCCCAAGTTGAAGACGCAGAGAAATTTATGCTGAGGATTCAGCCTGCATAAGGAAAAACCAGAGAAGAAAGCATATACCTCTGTTACAAGTTGAATTGTGTAAAGAAAAGAAAACGGATATCCAGAGAGGAAGAAAGTATACCTCTGTTACAAGTTGAATTGTGTAAAGAAAGAAAAGGGAAAACCAGAGAAGAAAGTGTATATCTCTGTTATAAGCTGAATTGTGTAAAGAAGGAAAGAAAGAAGAAAACCAAAGAGAGGAAGAAAGTGTACATCCCTGTTGCAGTAAGTCGGGTTTGGAAACCGAGCTGTCTACAGAAGAAAAGGAAGGAAAGAAAAAGGCGAAACAAAGAGAGGAAGAAAGTGTATACCTCTGTTACAGCCGGACAGTGTGGGAAATTGTGTTTGTGTCGAGAAAAGAAAGGACATTGATATAAAAAAAAAAAGAGAACTGAATATAAAAGATAAGTAATCATATTATGGACCCGTAGTAGAAAGATATACATCCATCCATGAATATTATGTTGTTGCAAACACCTTTCCACATGTAAAAAAATAATTATAACTCCTATCCCATCCTTTTTGTGTGTGCGTTGGCTTCTGCATTCAATTCATAGTAATTCATACTTATATTTTTGAAAATGTTCGGGTTCAGTTGAATCCATTTGGCGTTAGGTGAATTTGATATCCCAAAGTAAGTTTGAGATCTGGTCGTCGGATGTTTTAACTCATACTTATCTGTTCTTTTATTTTGATATATGTATATTTGTACATATTAAAATTATTGTATCAAAAATTGCTAAGCCTTATAGTTCATCCTTGTATTGTGGATCAGTATTCGTGTTGAAAACAAGGCGGGCCTGGGAGAGATTACTGTTCGATAATCCCAATCAACAGTGGTCTTAAAATATTTTTGTTTACCAATTGTCCATTCTCACGATCTGAGAGAGATAGCTTGTATCTCTCCACGGGTGTGAGAATGTATATATCTCCTAGTCGGCGTATAATCGCCCTATAAACCCATTCGTCAACTGGGGCATATGACAGTAGCATGAAGCTTATAAGAAGGATTAACCTTAATATTTTTATTAAGCATGTTTTAAGCCTGAAGTTTGGCCTAGACTTCACCTTTTTCAAATTTTAAGCATGAAATAAGGCTTATTCCTTAAGAATTGGCTAATTTTGTTTCATAAAACATGTTTGAGCCTTGTGGATCTCTCATAAACATTGTCTACTCATTGCATTAAATGTATCTGTATTTTATTCAAGAGAATTTTCATTTTTCTTATAAATGGAACTATTTCATGCTTAAGTTGTCATAATACAGGAATGTGTGCTAATTTTATGGTTCATTTTTTCAGCAAATGATTAGAACAACATTTCATGTCTTTTATTAATTAAGAAAAAATGCTTTTGAGATGAAATATCAGAATCCTTTCAACATTTTGTTTTCATAACATTTTAAATTCACCCTCTCTTCAACTATTGTAATGCATTTATTTATTTAAATTCCATACTATTAAATTGCTCTAATTTGAATAATTACTAATTCCCAGTTCATTAGAGTCACTGATTTTAAGTAAATTTTAAGTATTAATTACCCCACCCTAAATCTGTTCAAGGTAGATAACTTCATGTCATTACAAAATTGTTTTCCTTAAAAGAAAATAAGCCAGAAGAATCCTTAACCTGTTTGCAGTCTTTTCCATCAGTCATATGTCAATGATGGTACTTTAATAATAATTAAGCTTAGTGATAATTAACATTTGCTAATGATTATAATATAAATTTTATAAAAAGGAAGTGACATCAATTAGAGGCCATCTCAAATGACATTTAAAAATGGTATACAAAAAAATTGGAAGGAGATAGTAGCAGGATGACAGTAGATAAGAGTTTTGAAAACAGAATTGATTGAAATACTTATGTAAGACAAATTCTCAAAATATAAGATGCAAATCTAAGTCTCATCAGAACATCTTTATATTGGTTAGGTACACACATTTATATATTTGTTATTAATCAAACGACAATCACAAATATTTGGCTAGCTGGAATGCTTTTCAATGCTTCAAATTAAAAATTAATTCAGATGAATTGGAAATTTTGATTGAAAAAAAAAAAATCATTTTTGCTCTGCTGACTACTTTGGTTAACTCAATTGGAGAGTCCATCTTCAAGCAACCAATTGATACTAACCATATTAACAACTGTTACATATTCTGCTTGGACCAACTACTAACACCAGGTAGGATATTTTACTAATTTTAATATTTCTTTTTTTAACTTGTTTTTCCTCACACTAGAATGTATTTTGTTATTTACTAACAAGGTAATGGTGAGGAAATATCTTTTGTAATTGTAATCCTAACTTGATTGTTTGTACCCAATTATATGTGAAAACATACTTTTAAGCAATCTTTTCATATTTGTCAGCCTTTTTATAGAACTGCTTAGGAATTTTTTTTAATTCTGTGTGCAAACTAATTGTTTATATTTGTAGTAAGTACAAATTATATTGACTTGCTGGTTACAAAAATAATTTTTTTTTGTCTTATATATTCATATAAGATGTATATAAAGTTATAAAATCTCTTTAAAAAATTAAGAACAAATATTTTTCATGCCCACCCCTCAAATGTGTGACACCATTATTATTTTAACTACCTTCAACTCTTTGGCAATGTTTGTTTTAAAAACTGATGATTAGAATTGTTATAAAACCTAAACATATAATGAAAATGAATTTATAAATATTTTTTTGGTCTTGAGAATTTACAACAAAAATAGTAAACACTATTTATCTTTTATAGTTTATTTAAAAGAATAATTTTTATGTTTACAACATTCTAAAACTAATATAATTAAAACTAATGCAATGCAATATTTATCATTTACCAATTCATAAAGAAATATGGAAACAATTTTGTTATTCATAAATTTATAAACATTTACTAAATTATTAAAAAATGTGTACCAACTATAAGGAAATCCTTATTTACCATTTTATAAAATTCAAATCAATTGGCAATTTTCTGTTTTTCCAACCATTCCAATAAACAATCTAATAAATAAATTTATTATTTTTGTTATCAATTCTCAAGAAGGAAGAAAATGTATAAATTTATTTTCATGTGTTTAGGTTTTATTACAATTCTGATCATCGCATTTTAAAACAATAAACCTTGCTGAAGACCAAAGGTGGTTAAAACGAAAGCAGTGTTTTAGGGGGCAAAAAAACTTTTTTTTTTTTCCTGTGGGCACGGAGATTCATCTTTGTGCCTCTATATATGGAATTAAGAGTGACCAAGAATTCAGTTAGAAACACAAACCCTTGAGTTTAAAAAAAAAGAGCAAATTGAGAAAAGAAGAATTATAAAATTCATTTATTCATAACAATTGCTAGATTTGGTGAAAATCCTCATGTGTTCCTTATATCATTTTTCCCGTAAAGGATTATTTATCAAAAGAGGAATTGAATTAAAATTCTTTCCATTTGTGTAAAAAATTTCAAGAAATCGTCATATGATGCAATTTTTGCATTAATTTGCAAATTCTGTTTTCTATTTTCCAATTGCATCACTATATAAATCTATCTTCTTTCTCTGTTTATAAAGTCATTTTTGAATTGATGGGGCATCCAGCATATTATAGATGCTCAAATAAATTTATTCATTTACTAGAGTTTCACTATATATAGAATTGCATCCACTCTTCAGGAGATTTCATGATGAATAGTTCATTATCAAATCTCTTGAAGATGACATGTGATTCCATGAAACTCGGTCAAAATGTTCAGCAACTAAGTGAACAAATTTATTAACGTTCTCTCTTGATATCGAAGACTATAATTATAAAGACTGTCTTAAGTACACTATCTTCCAGGATAACCATAATTGACTGAGTTCTGGCAAGAATACAATCTTTGTTCCCACAGATATGGGTTAAAAAGCAGGCCTGACTGGGCTCTCATGCCTTGAGGTGGTAACCAATTTAGGAGAGAGAAAAACTTGAATTCAAAAGTAACCTAAAGAGGATCAGGCTATCTTGTCCCAGACACACCACTGCTACTATGGCTGCAGTATATGTGGTGCTCCCTACAACCCTGGTAGAATACAGGACTCTTGATTTGGCAATCTTTCTTATATATTTCTACTACTACTTGAGTTTCACTCTCGTGGCTTGACAAATATTTAATTTAATAATGACGCCAAATTCAGCAGTTAAAT